GACGTCATGATAATAACAATTTAAGTAAATCATCTTTATGTTTGTGAAATAAAAATGCTAATGTTTTGTCTGCTTCCTATTATCTCCATTCTCCCTGGTCCTGTTTGGTCGTAAATTAGACGGGTATTTCCACTCACAACAGTGTAGTCGCAATACTACTTGCACAAAAGTGAAATTCAAAAAGAGGAGAAAAGGAAAGACCGGTAGATTGATTTTTAAAGTAGGCCTACCTATACATGCAAAGTAGAGTGACTGTTTTAATTTTATCTTATTTGTTTTTTCATGGCTTTAATAGGTTACAAGCTAATAAGTAGATAATAAATCATTATTTTATGAATGCTAGTTTGCACGAAATATATAAGCGGGCATAATTATGATTACAAGTATAAATTGAAAAAAAATCCTCCCTAAACTTTTCTAAATTTAAAAGTAAAAAAAATAGAAAATCATATATGCTATTTTCGGACAACTAGATGTGCCATAATTATTTTTCTTACCTCAGCCCCAACCATGGTGGGGCTGAGAGATGTGTATAAGAGACAGGTATATAAACTTTAAGACAAACTTAAGTAAGTTTTTCAAATGTTGAATTTGTCACAGCAATAGATTCTCTACAGGCTGTCTCTTATACACATCTAGATGTGTATAAGAGACAGTAATTAGGCTCTCTGAGTCCAATAAGAATAACTTCCATAAGCTAGGATGGCAGCCATTTTGAAATCCAAGATGGCCACCACATAAATTGTCAAAAATCAAATATTTTGATATATAATTGCATTTTTCCTCGCTCAAAAATGTTAAATTTGGGGTCTAATCATATTTTATTCACATTTTTTAGTCCAATGAACATAGTTTCAAAAACCAAGCATGTCAGCCATTTTGAAATTCAAGATGGCCGCCACAAAAATCGTCAAAAATAAAATATTTGGTATATAATTCCACTTGTCGATCAAAAGTTGTAACTTTGGTGAGAGTAACCTCTAAATCTCTGGCCATATTCAATGCTAATGGTACATTTATAAAATGCCAGAAATCAAAACTTGTCCACTGTATGGATACAAAAACCAATTCTGCAGAATACACTGCTATTATCGATATGGGCATGGTCATCAGAAAGGCAATCCCTAATAAAGAACAAAGGCTTAATGAAGATGGTTCCTTGTTTACTCGGGAGAATTATGTCAACAAATGCACAGATATTATATTTAAAAGACATCACAATGCATCAGCCATTTTATGTGTTAATGACCCATACAGTAAAGAAGAGTCGATCAAATATGAAGAAAGAGAATGACGATCAAATGGGCAGACAATACCTAATACACACATGAAGTTACAGGACCAGTTTTTATCAAGTAAAGAGTTTAACAAAATCCCGAAGAGCGATTACAACAATTCAAGAATACAAGAATTTATTAAAGAAACCCCAGCAAGAAAAGTATAAAGTTGAAGGAATTTG